TCCAACTCATAGCAACCCTATAGGACAGGTAGTACTGTCCCATAGATTTTCCAAGGAGTGACTGGTGGATTTGAACCACTGATCTTTTGGTTAGTAGCCTGAGCTCTTAATCACTTTGCCACCGGGGCTCCAAGCATGCATCCTAAGGGGCTGCAATCAGGGATCTTCTGAACATTCCCCATTCTCCGGACACACACATACCTTACACATTCACACAACCTAATTTGGTGCACCAACCTAATAACAGATCCCTAGAGCCTTTTCTGTGAATTGGAATCAGCTCGACAGCAATGAGTTTGGTTTTTGGTTTAAAGCCTTTTACACCCTCAATGGTCAATTCCTCCCACTTCTTGGGACTCTTCTAAGGTCTTACCTAGGAATTACCCTGTTATTTACTGTGATGGTTAAGATTGTGTGTCAGCTTGGCTGGGCCATGATTCTCAGTGTTTATATGTGATCATTCCCATGATGGGATCTGCTGTGAGTAGCCAGTCAGTTGAAAGGGAGTTTCCTTGGGGATGTGGCCTGCATCTGAATATAAGCACACATTCTGGCTTTTTGCTTGCTCTGGATCCTGTGGCTGCCTCCTGACTGTCTGACCTCCAGTTCTTGGGACTTGAGCTATCAGTTTATCTGCTGATCTTGGGATTTATCAATCTTCACAGCCTGTGAGCAGAGCCCTGCTCTCCAGCCTGCCAATCTTGGGTTCACTAGCCCCTGCAGCTACGTGAATCAGGAGAAGCTTTGCGGTCTAACCTGCCAATCTTGGGATTCAACAATATTCATAGCCTGTAAGCAAGAGCCCTGCTTTCCGACCCGCTGATCTTGGAATTGTCAGCCCCTGTGGCTATGTGAATCAGGAGAAGACTCTATCCTAATCCACGGACTTGGGAAGTTCCAGCCTGTACAATCACGTGAGCTGTTTCCTTGTTATAAATCTCTCTCTATATATATTTGACACTTAATGGTTTTGCTTCTCTAGAGAACCCGGCCTAAGACATTTACCAAACAAACCCAGATACCTAGAACCTTTAATGCCCTCAATGGTCAATTCTTCCCACTTCTTGGGACCCTTCTAAGGCCTTACCTAGATACTTACCAAATAACCCAGGTGTTTTTTGTGTCTCCCACGGAGTCACGGTTGGGTCTGAGGCGGATTGGTTTCCAGGGCTGCTCCAAGGTCTCTGGGAGAAATCTCCTGGTGGTGCCAGACGTCGGGGCCAGTCTGTTGTCTGATCTGCCTTTGGAACCGAGCAGAAGACTCCTGACTGGCTCACCAGAAATGTTGCCGGGTAGAAACTCCAGGTTCTCCTCAGCACGACTCTTCTCAGCCAATAAATGAGAGACAAGGTGGGAGATTGGAAAGATGTCTTCATTTCATTGCACAAGGAAACGAACAGAGGGAAAGTTACTTTTATGGGGTTTACAAGCAGAAAGTTCATACAAGTTACATCAGCAACATTCTCAATCATATTACGCAGGCACAAGGTAACTTCATGCATCACATGTTCAGAAAATGGCCATTAAACTCTACCCAGAGGTGGGGAAGTTACTATGTATGAGATACTTAATGCTTTAAAAGATTATCCAGATTGTCAACATGGCACCAAAACTGGTTTCTGCCTATTTCCTCTATTTCTAGGCAGCAGTTAAGGAAAGGGGAGCCAGGATGTTAATGTAAAGCTAGAGGGCGTGCCAAGCAAGCTGCTTGAGGCACTGGAATTTTCCACAGCCTGGGGACCTTTAAGGATGGGAGGGCAGGGGCACTTGTGTTGGGGTGGTGAGACTAGGCTTGGTTTCCATTCCATGGTAACTGGCGAGGTGACCTTAGGCAAATGGCTTCACATTTTCCACCATCAGTTTCCTCATACGCAAAACGGGATAAGGTCAGCTGCCTACCTCAAAAGGTTATTGTGAGTATCAAGTGAAGTCATACAATACTACTAAACTTATTGCTGTCAAGTCAATTCAGACTCATAGCGACCCTACAGAACAGAGTAGAACTGCCCCATAGAATTTCCAAGGAGCGCCTGGTGGATTCACACTGCCGACCTTTTGGTTAGCAGCCGTATCTCTTAACCACTATGCCACGAGGGTTTCCACAATACTACTAGTTGATGTATACATAGAGAGAGAACTTCAAAATTTACAAAGTGCTTCCACATATATCTCTGGTAGCCTTCAGAGCAACCTGGAATATTATTATCCCCATTTCTCAGCTGAGGAAATTGAAGACTCAGAAGGATTGAAATCCACTTGAACACAGTGAGTGGCGCTGTTATTAAAAGGCAATAGGCCTGGCCCCACCTCATTTGACTTTCAGATTGTGCAGCTCCACCGCTTTTGCCCCGGAGTCTTTCATCTGGGGTACATGTTATGTTCAAAGCATTCTTTCATTTAATTACTATTTGCTGAGTTCCTACCTGGTGCCAGGTATTGTGCCAGGCATTGAGGATACTGTCACAGAGCTCCCTGTGTGGCAGGGAAAGCAGGCATCAGATAAGTAAAGAACAATACAATGCGATGAACGTTATGACAGGCATATTTGTTTCCTAGGGCTGCCATAACAAATTACAACAAACCTGGCAGCTTAAAACAAAAGATATTTATTCTCTTACAGTTCTGGAGGCCAGAAGTATGAAATCAAGGTGTTAGCAGAGTTGGTTCCTTCTGAGGCTCTAGGGAAGAATCCATTCCATGCCTCTCTCCTAGCTTCTGGTGGATGCCAACGTTCCTTGGTACTCTTTGGCTTCCAATCTCTGACTCAGTCTTCATGTCACATTCTTTTTTGTCTGTCTTTTCTCCTTTTCTACTCTTATAAGGACACTTGTCATTGGATTTAGGGTCACCTGGATAATCTAGAATGATCTAATCTGGAGATCTTTAATTACATCTGCAAAGATCTTTTTTCCAAATAAGGTCATATTTACAGGTTCCAAGGCATGGGCCTATCCTTTGGGGGGCTACTATTCAATTCACTACAGCCTGAGAAGGTCAGGGTGATGCAGAAGGAGACAGCAGGAGAAACCATAGAACATAGCCTGATAAAAAATGGGGGAAGAGAGTTCTCATGTCAAGGTGGGAAAGCGTATGGTGTTCAGCAGGAGTGAAGTAAAGAATAAGAGGGAACGTGGCAAGAGAGGGGACTGGAGAGTTAGTTGAGGGCCAAATCTTTGAAGTCTATTGAGCCAGGTTAGGAAGTTTGGACCTCATCCTTTGTACAACGTGAAGCTACCTAAGCAGGGAAGTGACTGACATTTTTGAAAGATTCTTTTGGCTGTTGTTTGGGAAAAGTTACTAAAAACAAAATCTAGTCCCAACCCAGAAAACCTCTCCACAAAAATAGGAGAGAAAGAAAATTTTATTATTGAATAAGCATTAAACCAGAATGTGACGCATCACAGGCAATCTGCTAAAGAGATTGCAAAGACAGAAAGAAATCTTGTTTATCCTTTACGTAGCTGAGCGGCTACAACTCATTACATTTATCTTTAAGGATAAAACTGCTAACTTTCTAGTATCTTTATGGCAGGATACTTGAAATTATGCTAATCTCCTTCCAGAAAACAGGAAGGTAGGGGAGGATCACCTGAAGTTACCTTTCTAAGAGGTAGCTGCCAGATCTTTGAAAAGACCTCTTAGATTTACATTCTTTTCAAAGAGACAGAGAAAGAATTTACAATTACAAGTTATCTGAAGTGAATTCTGAAAGAACAGCAGAGGAGAGGAGCCTCTTCCTTTACTCTCAACACGGAGAATTAAATTTGTATTTTTGCTTACACTGGTATGTGGAGAATGGATCTGAGCCTGGCAAGCTTGGGGACAGGTAGCCAGTTAGGACAGAGACAAATGCAAAAATACAATCAAGGGGTAATGCTGGGGAGGGGCCCACGGGGATGGAGAGAAGGGCAATCTTTGAAATAGATTTTGGGAGTAGAAGCAGGAAGGGGTGTTTGATTGGATATGTGCACGTGGGAGGGAAAAGAGAGGGAGGAGTCAAGGATGACATCCAGTTTTATCTGGTGTGTGCATCTGGTGGGTCATGGTGCCTTTTACTGGACTAGGAGGCGCTGGTGGTAGAATACTGCTACTTAGCAGGTGTATCCTACATGAATTTGTCCCAAATTTGTCCAAAATCAAAACGCAACCCACTGCCATGGAGTTCATTCTGACTCATAGCGACCCTATAAGACACAGTAGAACTGCCCTGCAGGATTTCCAAGGCTGAAATCTTTACAGAAGCAGCAGACTGCCACGTTTCTCCGTTGGAGCAGCTAGTAGGTTTGAACTTTGGTTAGCAGCTGAGCACTTTAACCACTGCCCACCAGGGCTCCTCAAATTTGTCCCCATTGCTGTTGAGTTGATTCTGACTCATGGTGACCCTATAGGACAGAGTACAACTGTCCCACAGAGTTTCCAAGGAGCGGCTGGCAGATTCAAATAGCCGACCTTTTGGTTAGCAGCCAAGTTCTTAAACACTGTGCCACCAATTTGTCCAGGACCTCTAAATTATGGTTGCCTTGTCTGGAGGGGGAGGAATGGATGAGGAGATCTCACTGACTTGAGGATTCTGTTTTCTGTGGTGGACACGTTTTATTGGTGGTGGACCATCAGGATAGAGGGAGAAGGGTCAGGTTCCTCTCGACTAAAGGTGTTTGATTCCCTGGGCCTCCTGTGGGCCTCCTGTTCCCTCCCCCCTCCCCATCCCAATTTATCTTATTTTATTTAACAACGATTTCTTGAGGGCATACCATGTAAGGCACCTTAGTAGTTCTCCAGGGGGAAATTGATCTTAAAAGAATTTACAATATAGATGGAGAGATGTGACATCTACAAAAGTAAGTACCGGTCGATGTATATCCTGTGAATCACCATAAAAGGCATAAAGAACATGCTCCCAGAAAATCAAGGTCAGAGATGGCACTTCTGAATGGGAAAATCAGGGATGAGGAGGCATTTGAACTGGTCTATAAGCAGAGGTAGGATATCTATCGGCAGAAATGCGGGACTGGGGTAAGGTAGGCATATCGCTGAAGGAGGAAATAACATGAGCAAAGATGGCAGTGGGTTTAGGTAATCACCAGCTCAGTGTCCTGCTGTCTGAGGGTATCTGCAGAGAGTGAGTTTTTAAACTGGGGTTTATGGACCCCTCACGATGTCCATGGAGGGACTTTGAGAAGTCTGAGAATTTCTTGAAATACTATGCAAAATTGTGTTTATGTATGCATGCGCATTTTTCTGGAGAGAGGGTCCACAGCTTTCCCCACTTCTCAAGGGTGGTACGAGAGAAGGTTAAAAACAGTACTCCAAATATCCCAGATAAGTACGTACAGGTGGGCTGGGGCATCTGTGATTTTGACAAGCTCGGGAAGTGACTCAGTGCACACGTCGGATCTCTAGATTACGGGAGTAGACAGGTCCAAGCAAGCCTTGGAATGCTAGCCTTAAGAGTATACTGCCCTTTGTCCACCTCTAATCACCCATTTTACAAGAGTAGCCCACCCATCCTCACCACAGTCTCCATCGCCCTGAGAGAAATATGGGGAGGCAAGGAAAGGAAACAACGATTCATGCAAAGACTCTGGAATCTCCTTTAGAGATAGGGTGGATGGGAGCCGTTCCATCCCCAGGCAGGGGACGAAGAGAGCAGTCTGTCAGGTTCCCCGCCCCGCCGCAAACCTGTGGTCAAATTCTGGGAATTTCCAAACCAGTCGGCCTAGCTGCGGCAGATTTTCCGGGACGCCAGCGTGCACTGAGCGACTCGGTCGCTGGGTGGCGCAGCGCCGGGCGCCGAACGTGGGAGGCGCGGGCGCGCGGGCGGGCTGAGCTCACACGCCCGGGAAACCGCCGCGGTGGAGCCGGCGTCCGCAGCGGCTGCGCATCTGGCGTCTCCCGCGGGGCGCTTGGGGGACGGCGAGCTGGGCTGTGTAGTCCCGAGGGAGGCGGCCGCGGGAGGTAAGAGCGGGGCCCTGGCCGAGGAGGGAGTGGGCACCGCGGGCTGGGCCTGCGGGCGGTTTCCCAGCACTCCGGAGCAGGAGTCGGCCCCTGGGGGAGATGCCCTGGGCCCGGCCGCGCTCCCGCCCGCGCCCCACCCCCGCTGCAGCGAGGCCTCCGGGCGCAGCTACCCTCGCCGCGTGGGTGGCGAGCGGACTGGGGCCGGAGCAGCCCCGAGCGGCCCCGGGCTCTGGGGCCGGGCGAGCCGGGCGGGGGACGTGGATGAGTAGCCCCCTCGGCCCGCACGTGAGCCCCTGCCGCACCCCACCTTCCGTTCCTCCGCTCCGCAGTGGGCGTGGTGCCCCTTTGCTGCAGAGGGGCGCCCGGAGTTGACGAAGGCTGTGGGGGAGGGAGAGCGAAGAGACAGGTGGTTGAGGGGGCGAGGGATGGCGCGCGTAGGCTTGTGCTGTTAATGCGTTTTCCTTTCTCCGCTCTTCTTCAGGTGGCGCGGAGGTGTTGGGAGGAGGCGGGAAGGCCGGAGTCGTAGTTCGAAGAGGGCAGGTGCTGTTGGCGACGCAACAGGGCTCTGTCTCCGGTCAGTCCCTTCACCTCCGCCCCCTCTCCCCCCCCACAAAGAAATAATAATGTAGGTGTGGCGATGATGGTGGAGGAGTTTGGTGAGAGCTGCCCCGGACCTGCCAGGGGCAGGCCGCCAGGCTCCCGCGTGCTGGTCCGGAGCCGCAGACTCCAGCTCTCTGCGGCGGGCGGGGGATCCGCCATTGAAGACGCTCCAGCAACTGCGGCAGCTATTGAGATAGGCGCTGGGGGTGAGGGGGTGCCTTCCAGGCCGAGAGCCCAAGTTCATGGGTGGGTTGGCCAGGACATGGTGGGAGGTGGGGGCTGTAGGGAGACAGTAAATTAGGACTCCCTTCCTCCAGTTTTGTTCGCAGCTATAGACCAAAATTTGGGATTTGGCTTTTGCCAGGGTGTTTAATTTTTTTTTTTCCTTTCCCTTTCGGTTTGTTTTGTTTTTAGAGGAACAGCAAATGTCAGAGCAGAGGGAGGCTGGCTCAGCCAGTCCTGGAGCCGCTGCAGCACTCGTTCTCCAAACATTCTGGTGCAAGGAGAGTGGAGGGGGCTGCCGGCCTGCACTGCTCTCCCACCCACAGCCCCTGTGGGAAGGGCATTCTGGCTGCCTCGGGCTGCTGGACAGAGGCTGCGTGGGCCAGGGTGGTGATGGTGCCACCGCTCCTCCCTGCTGCCCAGTGTGGAAGAAGAATGCAGAGCCAGGCAAGTCTCTGTGTCACCGGCGGGGAAGGAGCAGGTAGAGCAGGGTCCGGGGGCCGCCAGGGCCTGGTCGTGGTTGCTTTGGTATTAGCTTCGAGAGGGCTGGACCTCCAGCCCCTTGGGTTTGGTTCCACCCCTGGCCTGTCTCTGGCACTTGACAACTGTGTCTGTGGGCTTATTGGTGCCACCATGTTATATAAGGCTTATATAATCTCCAGGGCAAGTGCTGTGTCTCTGCTCTCAGGTCACGCAGGCACTGTGTCCATGTGGGAGGCAGGATCTGTGGAAGCTTGTGGGTACACTGACTCCCCCCACTCCCAGCCTGGCTCCTTCTGCTGATCCTGGGCATAGATGGGGCTGGACGAAGAGGGGCCCACGCCACTGTATGGGGCTGAGAAAGAGGGTTTGACTGGGAGTCTTGTCCCTCTCGTTTCCTTCACCCAGTGACTGTCTGGTAAAGGGGATACTTTTCTTGGGCTTTGAGCTTGGTGCTGCCTGACATGGTAGGTGAGTGTGGTGAGATGACCCCCAGGATGTTGCAGTGGACGAATACATGGTACTTAGGGATGGATAAAGAGAGGCAGAAATTAGCTCTGCCTTTGAGGTTTTGAGCAAGAGGAGCTAGGAGGGTGGTGGTGACATTTTAAGAAATTCAGAGCAGGCCTTAGGGCTAGGGGATGGTCAGGGAAGGGTGTACGGGGAAGTGGATCAGACAGCAAAGATAAACATGGTGTTATTTTACTGTACTCTCCACTGGGCTGTCCCTGGTTACCAGGGCAACAGAAGCAGTGATGAAAATCATGCCTTTCGTTCAGTGGAAAAATCTGGCTCCTCCTCCTGCCTGTTCCTTCTCTAATTGCTTGCGACCCATGGGGACAGTGATACCCCCAGTGATCAGAGAGCCCCTTCATGCCCCCCTTCCCAAATATTTTATTATCTCTCCCCTTCCTGCATCCGCTACCTCCCCCCAGAGCTCGGCAATAGGCAGTTGCGTAGGAGTTGGAGTAGATGGAGGGAGAAGGGCATGGACGTCATTGCAGGGCAGGGTGAGCAGAGCGTGGGCAGTGATGTGGATGCAGAATGACTGGCACATGAGGAGGTCAGGCGTTGATCAGCTAGATAGAGCTGAGAGCTTGTTTCTGGGGTGCTGGGAGCAGGGGGTGGGAAGTGGGAGGAAGATAGTGGAGGGCCTGCAAAGCCTGGCAGTCTGGGCTCGAGGTAGTAGGGAATAGGAGGGCCCTGCGGTTTCTTATGTAGTCCCAGTTCCGTGATGAAAGCTAGGCCTCGTGCATTCAGCGTTTACTGTGTTAGGTGAGGTTTTGGGAGCTGGGAGGATAGAGGTAAGGAGGACTGGGCCTTGACCTTGGGCTTATCGTGGCTAGAGAAGGATGAGTATATGGGGGAAGATGAGTCTGGCAGTGCTAGCAGCCTGGAATCTGAGGCCCCAGGCAGGTGACTGGCACTGTTCCAGACTCGAGGTGACGGATCAGGGTGGAGCCTGTTGGAACGGAGTGGAAGAGCTAGCTCGGAGAGCCACTTTGGCTTGGGGACACGGCCTGGGGAAGAGAAGGTGCTGAGATCTTGAGCCTTAATGATTGACAGAAACAAAAATCAGGGTTCAAACTTGTTTGGGGGAGTCATGATTTATTTTTAGACATGTCTTCAAAATGATGGTATGGCATCTGAATAGAAATGTTTGTGAGCTGGCAAACAAAGTTAGCCGTGGAAGTCAGTTGTGGGAAGAGATTTGGGGGAAATGGTATTATGAAGCCGCCAGAGTGCGAGGTTATCAAGAAGGTTTGTAGAGAGAGAAGCTCCCAGGGCCTTGGTGTGTCTGCCTGGAATTGGATTAGGCTGTATCCCTTGTACTGTTTATTATCCCAGGGCCTGTCCAGACTTCTGGACCAATTTCTGCCAGTAGCCACTCACATCTTTTATCATTTCACATCCCTTTCTGAAGTTTTGTTTCTGTTTAAGTTTTCTCCTCCCTAGTAATAAATCTATAGCTGGAAAGACAGATGCATACACACTTATCTCCCCAAGCTCTGTCCTTGACCTTTGGTGTACCATTTGCTCAGCCCTAGGATGTACTGTGGAGATGGGCACAGATCCTTGGCCTCCTCTAGCATTGGTTCTGCTTCCTGTCCAGTTGTCGCTCTGTTGGAGTAAGATCCCTGGACAGAGAGTCGGGAGACCTTGGCCACCTACATGATCTTCGGCAAGTCACTTTCTTTTCCAGGCCTTAGTGGCTGGTCTAAGGAATCTGGCTCTAACACATCTGGACTTGATGTCTAGAGTCTTTTCCACCCTAGCCCAAGTATCTGATGCAGGCCAGGCTTTTGAACAAGCAGCCCAGGTTTCTGTGGTGCTTTGTGGAGGCAGAGGAAGTAGCCCTGGTCTCCAGAGCAGGTGGAAGCCCGCCAGCTGCTCAGCCTCCTCAGCACCTCATGGTATGCTGGCCCTGCTCCTGTTGGGAGCGTGGAAATGCTGGTAGAGCAGGTTTCCTTATCTGTCGGGGGTTAACAAACTACAGCCCATGGGCCAGATGCCTGTTTCTGTAAATAAAGTTTTATTGGAACACAGACATGCCTGTTTGTGTATTGTCTGTGGCTGCTGTCATGCTGCGGTGGTGGAGTTGGATAGCAGTAGCGGAGACCGTATGACCCACAAGTCTAAAATATTTATTATCTTGACCTCTTTTAAGAAAAGTTTGCCAACTCTTGCCGTAGACCACCATTGAAATTCTTGGCTCTCCACTGGGGATGCTTACCATGGCTATTACAGATTTCTAGGGTTCTCGAAGAGTCTTCAGTGGGCCCTCCTTTGTAGTCCCTTGAGAGGGTGATCTGGCATTTGAGGTGGTGGATTATTGGAGTCAGCTCCAATATAGGGGTCCTATGTCAAAGATAGGGGCCCTGTATCAAAAATTTTTATTTTCAGTCCCTTCCTGGAGCCTTAGGGTATCCCCTACCTCCCCACGTCCCTTTGAGCCCGGAGGCCTGAGTTCCTTAGCAGGGCTGAGTTGTGGCCTTTGTTTGACAAGCTGCCCTCTCTTTCATTCTGATTTCCTAGGCCTGGGCAGAGGAGATTGGACTGAATCATACACCGTCTTTGGTAAGGAGAAGGGAAGACTCGTCGGCTCTGCCGAGGCCTGCAGCGTGTTTTCCCTGATATGTGTACTCTCTTGCTTCCGGTCTCACTGTCCCCTTTAGAGCCAAGGCCCTAGAGATGCCCACAGCACAGCCTGGTTTCTCTGTTTCAGCCCGGCCCTCATCCACTCTGTCAGCACAAGGCCCTGGGCCTGTGTGTGTTGGTGCTTGGCACCAGAATTGGTACTCGGTATCTTGCAGTTAAGGAGTCCCTGGGTGGAGCCCTGGTGGTATAGTGGTTAAGAGCTATGGCTGCTAACCAAAAGGTCGGCAATTTAAATCCACCAGCCGCTCTTTGGAAACCCTGTGGGGCAGTTCTACTCTGTCCTGTAGAGTTGCTATGAGTCGGAATTAACTCTACGGCAACGGGTTTGTTTGTTTTTTTGTGGGTGGTACAAACGGTGAACACACTTGGTTGCTAACTGAAAGGCTGGCGGTTCAAATTCACCCAGAGGCACCTTGGAAAACGGCCTGCTGATCTATTTCTGAAAGGTCAGCAGTTGAAAACCCTGGGGAGCACAGTTCTACTCTGACACATGTGGTTGCTTTGAGTTGAAATCTACATGATGCCAATTGGCTTTTTTGGTTTTTTTTTTTTTAAATTCTGGTACCTAATCTTTACTGAATTTTCTTGTGTCCCGATTTCCACCTTTTTGACCTGGTCCTCTAGCCTTCACAGTGCTAATGAAACTCCTGGTCAGGAACACAGCTAACTTAGAGTTTTTGCTGCTACAGAACAGCAGCCACACAGCGGTTGAGTCGGTTCTTCTCAGGGCTGAGATAGGAAGTGAGACATGTCCGTGGCGGGAGGAAACCACGTGCTCCGAGCAGCGGGGGGAGCAGGGGGTTACTGAGGTTTATTCCCATTGCAGCTGGAAGGGAGGAGGCTGGCGGTGGGAGGAGGGAGTAGACGACCCAGAATAGCAAAGAAGACAGAAGCTAAGCACACCCGGAGCTGCTTTTAGCTGGTAATGGTAAGCCTGGCTCCAGGAGGCGTACTTCACACCTCCCCCTACACACATTTTCCCCTGAGGCTGGGTCCCTGACTCCTCTGTCTTTATCAAAAACCTCTAAATAGCTTTTCCTGTGTAGAGTTGAGGATGACCCTATACTGCATGGGCTTAAACTAATGCCAGCACAAGTGCACTGACTTGGAGAGGCATTCCTTTCATTGACCAGGTGTTTAGTAAGATCTGTAGTGAGTAGGGCACTGTGTGAGGTTCTGGAGAGACAAGGTAAAGAGAAGCAATTCAGAGACTTGTCTGGAAGATGTATAGACCATTGATCGGTTCTAATAATGATCTGCACTAGATCATAAGCTTCAAGAAAACATGTCTGTTTCTCTTGTTCATTGCTGCATCCCCAGTGTGGGGCACAGTACTTGGCACACGGTAGGAACTTGGGTATCTAATTGGCTGACCTGTTCTTATTTGGTCATTTCTGGAAGTGTGCAGGAGGGATCTGAGAGTGTAAGTGGAGGAAGGGGAGCTCATGCCCACAAATATGACAAATTTGGGGGAAGGTAGACATACCTGAACCTGCTGATAATGTGACTGTTGTTAAGGAAGACAGGAGATAGGAACAGGTGAAGCCATGCAGGAATGAGAAGCCATTGGCAGTTGGACCATGACAAAGGAGGGGCATGACTTGATGCGCAGAGGTGAGTTAGAGGCAGCCACCATTGGATAATGCAGAGGCTGGGGTGGGGAGTGGGTGGAGGGAAGAACCAGACAATGGTGGGGGAAGGGAGATTGTGGAGGGAGAGTAAAAACCAGGTAGGAGGAAACATGGAGGCATTTCCCATCCTAGGAAGAAAGCAGAGATGAAGCAGGTGAGTAAAGTGAAAATGGTGGCGGTGATGAAGACAAGACAGAACTTTCAGGTCTGTTCTGTAGGTCTCCTCAGAAGTGCCTTATCCAGGCATGACCAGAAATACCACTGGGCTGCTTTCTTGTGGGGAGGCAGATGCAAGGAAGTTAACTGTGGTTTGAGATTATGGTTACTCTTCTTTCTGTAATTTTTATTATGGAAATTTTCGAATGTATATGGAGGTAGAATTATCATAATAAACCAACATGTTCCCATCACCAAGTTTCAATGCATTATCAACACATGGTCCGTCTCATTTCATTTATACCCTGTCTTGGTTATCTACTGCTGCTATAACAGAAACACCACAAATGGATGGCTTTAACAAAGAAAATTTATTCTCCCACAGTCTAGCAGGCTAGAAGTCCAAATTCAGGGCACCAGCTCCAGGGGAAGGCTTTCTTTCTCTGTTGGCTTTGGGAGTAGGTCCTTATCATCAATCTTTCCCCATCTAGGAGCTTCTCTGCGCAGGGACCCTTGGTCCAAAGGACACACTCTGCTCCCAGCTCTGTTTTTCTTGGTGGTAGGAAGTCCTCATGTCTGCTCACTTCTGTCTTTTATATCTCAAAAGAGATTGACTTAAGATACAACCTTATCTTGTAGATTGAGTCCTGCCTTATCAATGTCGTAGAGACGGGATTTGCAACACATAGGAAAATCACATCAGATGACAAAATGGTGGACAATAACACAATACTGGGAATCATGGCCTAGCCGAGACCTAGCCAAGTTGACACACATTTTTGGGGGACATAATTCAATCCATAACCCTCACCTACTTCTTTCCCAGCCCCTTAAATGAATTATTTTAAAGCATATCCCAGACGTTGTGTCATTTCATCTATAAATACTATTATGTGGTGCAATGGTGAAGAGTTACGGCTGCTAACCGAAAGGTCGGCAGTTCGAATCTACCAGCCTCTTCTTGGAAATCCTACGAGGCAGTTCTGCTGTGTCCTGTAGGGTTGCTATGAGTCAGAATCAGTTTAACGGCAGTGGGTTTTTTTTTGTTTTTGTTATTATCTTTAAAGATAATAACTTGTAAAAACATAACCCCATAACTCCAGTAGTATTATTGGATTCCCAGGGTGGTGCAAACAGTTAAGCACTTGGCTGCTAACCGAAAGGGTAGAGGTTTGAGTCTCCCCAGAGGCCCCTCGGAAGAAAGGCCTGGTGATCTGCTTTCAAAAAATCAGCCGTTGAAAGCCCTGTGGAGTGCCGTTCTACTCTGACACATGGGGTCACCATGGGTTGGAATCGACTTGAGGGCAACTGGAATTGGAATAGTATTATCACATCTTGAAAAAACAGAATCATTTAAATATCAGCAGTCATCCAGTTAGTGTTTAAATATCCCTGATTATCTAAAAAAAAAAAAATTTATTTTGACAGTTTCTTTTAATCAGGCTCCAAACAAGATTCACACAATTCATTTAGTTGAAGATGAATCTCAGAGTCATAGTTCTGCCTTTTAGGTTTACTTAGCTGCCTCTCACCCCCAGTCAGCTGCCAACAACAGTTTTCTTGAGTTTGTTGAACCAGATTGTGATTTTGAGTGTTCTTAATCATCTCTTTTTCTTCAAAGGGGATGTAATTAGTCAGTTATTCCTTCTTTCAATAAATATATGTTGATAACTCACTGTGTTTCAGGCACTGTACTGGGAACTGGGGATAAAAAGACAGGCAGGGCCCTGCCCTCACAGAGCTTACGGTCTCACCACGAGAGCTGTTTGTGGGTCTGCTCGCTGCATGTTTTTCCTGTGTGTTCACCCAACTGAGTTGTATGTGGCCATCACTTCGTGTTGATAAATCTGCCATATTCTGGTGATGTTGTTAGGTACTGTTGCATTGGTTCTGACTTACAGCAATCCCATTTATAACAGAATGAAATGCTGCCCAGTCCTGCACCATCCTCCCAATCATGTTTGAGCCCATTGTAGCAGCCACTGTGTCAGTCCGTATCATTGGTGGTCTTCCTCTTTTTCACCGGTCCCTCATGCTAACATGTCCAAAGTATGTGAGATGAAGTCCTGCCATCCTCGGGCTTGGTATTTGTATTCTTATACTGTCCTTCCATGTGGCTGATAAGAGGTGCCCCTAGAACTGTTGAAGAAGCCAGGTGTGATTTCTGTGCTAGGTCCCTGTTTCATAGCCATGAGACCTATCTAGTATGTCAGTGGCGCCAAGGTTGACTTTGTGTGTATTCATTTAACACTCTTGGGCTTGTGTCTTTATGAAAGTTAAAACGGAGAGCTTACTTAGCTGACTGATTGGAGAGAGGCTAAAAAACGTCTGAGAGGTGCTCTGAGCTGTTGAAAAGGGCTTGACAAATGCTGAGGCTTTCACCTTTCCTAGATCCTTTATTGTATACAAAACATGAACACACCATGTTGTTCGTCCCGTCACTGAAGGCTACGTGGTTTAGAATTTGATGATACGTTTGATTTTCTTCCAGGTTAGTCGCCTTCAGTTACTTTGATCATGTACCTCTATTGGTTAAAACTTTTGAGCAACGTTGTGTAAAGAGAGAGAATTTGTAATTTACGTACAGTATTGTAGTATTAATGACTTATACATATTATAAAACACAAAATTAAAAAAATGGGTACAGTATATAGTATGCTACTATCTCTGGGTAGCACAAACTATCTGTACTTGGCTACCAGCCAAAAGGTTGGTGCTTCAAACCCACACAGTGGCACTGCAGAGGAAAGGCCTGGTATTCTACTTTCTCAAAGATTATAGCCAAAAAAACCCTATGGAGCTCAGTTCTGCTCTGTAACACATGGGGTTGCCATGAGTTAGAACTGACTCTACAGCAGTGTTTTTGTTTTTCCTTTCCATCCTGGATGGACTCTTTATGGTCCTGTCTGAGGGCAGTCCTACTTTGCACTGGATTTCAACCCCCTCACATATTCAGGGACGTTACTCCAGTAATTCTCCTCCCTCTTTCTTGCATCACCAGTTTTTCCCTGTCTATTGGATCATTTCCGTCAGCATACTGCTTTTTTTCTCATCTTAAAAAGTCTCCTTTAACCCCGCCTCTTCCAGCTATTGCCCCACTTCTCTGTCCCGCCAGAGGGTTTTCTATACTTGCTGTCTTCAGTTTCTCTCTTGAATCACACCACTTGGACTTTGCCCTCCCTTCGCCCCCTGCCACCGCACACGAAACTGACAAGGTCAATAGTGACCTCCACCTGCTAATCTGGTGGTCACTTCTTCGTCTTCGCCATATGAGCTCTGCAGCAGCGCTTGGCATAGCTGGTCATACCCTTTCCTTGAAGCTCGCTCTTCCCTTGGCTTTCCGGACATACATTTCTGCTTTTCTGTCTGTCTTGTTGGCCGTTGTTCCAGCATCTCCTCTCTGACCTCTGAACAGGAGAAGGCCCTGGGATCTCTCTTCTCTGTCTTTTCTAGTGTAATGCCACGAGACAGGCATTTGTGATCTCTGCTGTCTCAGGGCCTTAAACACCATCTTTATGTAGGATGTCGGGGATTGGCTTCAAAGTCGTCCTGAGGGCTGAGGTGGCGGGTGAGGTCAACAAGATGGGCCACGGGGTGGTAATTGTTGGAGCTGGGTGATAGGTACCTGGGGCTTCATTACACTGTTTTCTCTAGTTTTGTGTATGTTTGAAATTTTCCATGATCACAGTTAAAAAAAATCCATGTGCTGATCCCCAATTACTTGTCTCTAGCCCAGCCTCTTTCCCAGTCTGTAGATCTGTGTGTCCGTCTACTCAGCATCTCAACTTGGATGTTACTAGACATTGCACACTTAATGTACCCCAAACTGAGCTCCTGATTTTTCTACCTAAACTTGTTCTTCCTGCAGTCCTCCCTGTCTTAGTTATGGAAATGCAACCCTTCCAGTTGTTCACCCAAAAGACCTGTGGTCGTATCTGACTGCTCCCTCTCTCACATCCTCTGTCCAGCCCATCAGCACATCTTGTTGACTCTCCCGCAAAGTATTTCCAGGAGCCAACCAATCAGAATGATATTCATTGCTCCAACCCTGGTCTAAGCTACCATCATTTCTCACCTGGGTCTCCTTTGCCCCTTACAGTCTGTGCTCCTGACGGCAGCGAGAGGGATCCCATGAAACATAAGTCACAGCATGGCTTCCTGTGCACAGAACCCTGCGGTGGCTTCTCTTCTCACTCAGTACAATCGGCCCTCTGTACCCCTGGGTCCCGCATCTGCAGATTCAACCAACCATGGATTGAAAAGACTCGGAAAAAAAAAGAAAGTACACTTTTTTCCTTGTTATTATTCCCTAAACAATACAGTATAAGAACTATTTACATAGGATTTACGTTGTATTAGGTATTATAAGTAATCTAGAGATGACTTAAAGTATACAGGAGGATATGTGGAGATTATATGCAAATACTTCACCATTTTATAGAAGGGACTTGAGCATTTGCGGATTTTGGTATCTGCAGGGGTCCTGGAACCAATCCCCTGTGGATATTGAAGGATGACTGTTGAAGTCATAGTCCTTGTGGTGGTCCATAAGACCCCGTAGTTTCTATCATTACTGTCCAGTAGAAGTATAATGTGAGTTACACATGAGGGCTGCATATATAATTTAAAATTTCCTGGGGTAGCCACGTTAAAAAATGGAAAACAAAGCAGATAAAATTAATTTTTCTTTTTATTGTGCTTTAGATGAAGGTTTACAGAGCAAAGTAGTTTCTCCTTGAACAATTAATACACATGTTGTTTTGTGACATTGGCTGCCAACCCCACGACGTGGCAACCCTCTCCCTTTCTTGACCTTGGATTCCCTATTTCCATTCGTCCAGCTTTCCTGTCCCCTCCTGCCTTCTCGTCCTTGCTCCTGGGCTGGTGTGCCGAGTTAGTCTCGTACACATGGTTGAGCTATGTGTATTATTGTTTGTAGGTGAAATTAATTTTAATAATATATTTTATTTAACCCAGTACATTGAGAATATACCACTTCTGAGATATGTTACATTATTTTCTTCATAGTAAGCCACACTTCTAGCACATCTCAGTTTGGACTCTCTGCATTTCATGTGCTCAGTAGCCACATGTGGCTAGTGGCTGCTGCGTTGGGCAGTGTAGATGTCTATGATTTGGCCCCCCTCTACTTTTGTTGCTTTATGTTTCGCTGCTCTTCCCTTCTTTGACTTTGCTCTAGCCACATTGGCCTCCTTGACGTTCTTCAAATAAACTAGACTTTTCCTGTTTAAGGGCCTTTGTACCTTGCTGTTCTCTCCGTTTGGAATACTTTTCCTCAGGTAGCCCCATGGCTGACTATCACTTCCTTTGGGTCTGTGTTCAGATGCTAAACCTTCTCAGTGGGGCTTCCTCCTCTCCTGACCTTCTCTGGCATTCTCTGGGTCCCTTCTTCCCTCCTGTGTTTTTTCTCTGTAGCACCACTACCGTTTAACATACTCTATGTTTCTGTTACTTAGTCTGTGTTTCTGTCCCTCCACTGGAATGTGAGCTCTGTGAGAGCAGGGATTTTTGTCAGTTTTGTTCCATGCGGTATTTCCGGAGCGTGGAACAGTGCCTGGCACATACAAGAGACAGGTAGATGTTTGCTGAAGAAATAAATGGAATGAATTATTAAGTAAGAATGATTCTTTTTGAGTAAGAACAGTGCAATTGAATATGCTTTATTGTTTCAGAATATCTTGGTGTCATATTTTGCAGTATAGCTGTTTGAAGGTCTGTTTGAAGTCGGGGTGTTTTGAAGAGACCTCACGTGTAGATTCTCCTGGCAGAAGTGCACCCTTAATTGTGCCTGCTCAGTCATGATGCTTGCTTTTCAGCCACAGCCACCAGTATCTGCAAAGTTTGTACAACCCAGCTACTACATTTCTGCTTTCCTGATATCAGACAGTTGTTATTGCAAACTCATTGGAAGGTTTTGTATATTTTTATAGCTTTAGTAAGTGGGTTCAAGACCCCTGAGACACTTCATTTTGGGAGATTTTGAGACCAGTTTGGATATTCTGTTTTAAGTGTGAGATTTGAGATTTTAGAGGTGATGTATTACATTGAATTTGGCAGCTTCATCACATACTAGTGGAAATGATTTCCAAATGCCTGTTTTTAAAATATCTCTTTTAAAAAGTAATAACTTTTCTTACCCAATTTTAAAATGTCCCCTTTGCCTGAAAGGGACAGATTGTGAATATTTATGTACTTGTTTATATAAAAATATCCATTAAGTAGCATTCGACTGACAGGCGTTCGTTACAGGAAAAAACAGTTGCTGTTGAGTAGACTTGGACTCATGGCGACCCCACGTGTGCCATAGTAAAACTGTGCTCCAAAGGGTTTTCAATAGCTGATTTTTCAGAAGTAGATCGCCAGGCCTTTCTTTTGAAGTCTTTCTTCCAGTCCTTTTTTCCGCCTCTGAGTGGACTTGAACTTCCAACCTTTAAAAGTTCCTTCAGGGAGAAAAGCTCCTCTCCCTTGTTAGACTGCTTGTCCAGATGCCTTAATGGGTAGTAAAATCAATTTAGTGGGTTGAGACCACCATTAAAAAAAAATTTGTAATAGAAAATATTGGATTGCATAGTATGTAGTAAGGCTAAGTATGATTGCCTGGAGTGTTCTTTCAGTTATATAACAAAATTATTGTTGGGTGCCATCGAGTTGATTCCGACTCATAGCGACCACATATGACAGAGTAGAACTGCTGCAAAAGGTTTTCTTGGCTCTAATTATTACAGAAGCAGATTACCAGGTCTTTCTTCTGTGGAGTGGGTGGTGGGTTCAAACCACCAACCTTTTGGTTAGCAGCCAAACGCTTAACCATGTGCCACCAGGGCTTCTTTGTGTAACTATAAAGAGAGATGTACGTATACACAAGTGCGCATACGTGTGTGCTAGGTCACCATGTGAAACTTATTTCTTTTTATGTGTCTGGGTCCAAAAAATTTGAGTAATATTGTCCTGGAAGAATTTCTTTGCTCTTAGAGTAGACAGCGGGTTCCGGCCACTTCCCCAGACCATCTCCATGGAGACAGATGTGGTGAGAGCCCTTTTTTTTTTTTAAACTTAAGAGCAGCCTGAGTCAGGCTCTCCCAGCATGATCCTAGGCCTGCCTGGGGCTGCTCACCCACACCCTGCCCCACCTCCCTGTGCCTGGTGTCTCCTGCTGCAGAGGAGCTGGGGAGAGAGTCCAGGAAACCCCAACCAGGGAATCAGAGCAGAGGTCCCCCAGGCCTCTGTTGTCGTCCCCTCTAGTCACCCAGGGTGCGGTCCCCTAGAATGCAGCTTCTCAAGCCCTTGGCCTCTTTTCTGTTGTGGTTCCTGGCTTTGTTAGCTATTTCCTTGTTGTTGCTTTTATTTTGTTTTAGCTGCAGATCTCCTTCTTCCTGCATGTCAAGGGCAGGGCAGGGAGAGGAAGCCATCCCAACTTGTGACTTAGCCCTGTTGCCTGTTTCTCAGGTTCTCAGGTGGGGAGGTTAGCGCTCACTTGATCTGGGGGCAGATTCCTGGTGGGTTGGAATGGGCTGGCTGCCCCTCGGTGCCTCTGTTAGTGCTGCGGTTCCCCTGGCTTCGTCTCTCCCCCAAAGGAGAGGAGCCATTCCTGGATCACAGTTGCCTCGCCTTCCATCAGCTATGCAGGCCGGCCTGCCGAGTGCTGACCCACTTGTCTTACCTCAAATAGAGGTTTAAATTAGGCCCTTTAATCTGTAAGAGGCTTACAGCCTGTTGGTGGCCAGCTGCTCTGGACTCCCATTTGGGCAGAGCTGGGCTTTGCTTGGCTGTGTTGGGTTTAAGGATTCAAGGGGGTCAGTGGCGTCAGAGCAGGAGTGACCAGAGAAGTGGACTCACTTGTAAGGCTTGGGGACAGCAGAGATCCTGGGGATGTGGAATTGTTTGCTTGGCATTCCTTTTACTGTGGGTGCTTATACAGATAGGACCTGGGAATGGGTGGATGGGGTCTCTCTGGTGATGGAATGGGCTGGTGGTATGTCCTTGTATTGATGGAGTGGGGAGCCCAGAATTCCCTGGGCCTTGGGTGCTGGCTCTGCTTCCCCTGGGCACTGAGCCTGGTTCCTTTCTGCTGTGCGTTAGCTCTGCTGGCTCAACATGTGTTTTCATTCCACACATATTTATTAATTAAGGGCTGTGTTCCCAGCACAGTGCTAGGTACAGCAGGGACACACAGAAATGTGAGGATAAGGCCCTCCCCAAGTTGCTTATGGACTGTTTGAAGAGACAAGACTAGTGCATATCAAAGCATTCATCCATCCCATGGGCAGATCATTATTTGGCTGGTCGCTGGTCAAGGTAGCAAATTATAAAGTTCCAAAGTAAAGGGCGTGGGGGTAAGTGTTGTTGGAGACCTGAGAAGAGAGTCAGCACTTGAGTGGTCAGACCTGGGGCCTGAATGGTGAAAGAATTTAGGAAGATGAGGAGAAGGAGGTCATCGAAGGTCGGAGGAATGATGAGGACAGACGGAGGGAGGGTGGTCCTCTTCCGAAGTCAGACCGCTGGGGAGCATCTTCTCCCCTTCCCATTTCACTGTCCCTCTTCTCGAAATAGTCCGAGTTTCAGTCCTAGAGACTCTTCCCTGGACAGCATAAATCTAGTTCTTGGATTTCCTCTTTTCTCCTCCTTCTCTTTATTGTTATAACGGCAATAGTGATGGTTCTTTTATTGAGTGCTTACTACAGACCTGTTCTGTGTACTTTATGTGGGTTGTCTCATTCAGTCTTCACAAGAACCCCAGATAGGTGTTTAGATATCGTTGTGTGTATTGTACAGCTGATGGCACTGAGGCATACAGGTTAATAACTTGCCCAGGGTCACATAGCGATGGAGTGTTTGGGTCAGGAACCCTCCTCTCCCCTCACATCTGAAGGCAGAACTTCAGAAGCCAATGAAGACAGAAGCCTATGTTCTTAACCCAAACTTACCTGAACGTTAGAATCACCTGGGGATCTTTTAAAAGTTCCCAAGTCCAGACCACACACCCCAGACCAATTAAACCACACCCTCTGGTGGTGTGGCACACGAGTGAGAACTACTGTCCTCTTTTTTTTTTATAATTTAAGTTTTTGTTAGGGAAAATATACACAGCAGAATGTACTCCAACAGTTTCTATATGTACAGTTCAGTGACATTGATTACATTCTTCGAGTTGTGCAACCATTCTCACCCTCCTTTTCTGAATTGGTCCTCCTCCATTTACATGAACTTACTGCCCCCTAAGCTTCCTATCTGATCTTTCAAGTTGCTGTGGTCAGTTTCATCCCATATAGATCTTTAACAGAGCACAGTGCTCAAGGCAGACATTTTTTACTAGCTAAGCTAAATTTGTTTGGTTTAAAGAAGATGTCAGGGGATTTTTTTGTTTTAAGGTTTAGAGATTATTTCAGGACAGTAGTTTCGGGGGTTCCTCTAGCCTCAGTGGTCCAGAAAGTCTGGAGTCCATGAGAATTTGAAATTCTGTGCAACTGCTAGGTTAACTTCCCTGTTTTAGAGACTGAATATTTGAATGCAGATTTAGCTCTAAGATTATCCAAAGCATTGCTCAGGGGTCTTCCTCCATGCCTGTCCTCAGTGTGCCTCTCTGTACCACCCACCTTTCTATGTGGTATAACTCTGGCTTCTTGTCTGAGGCAGCAGGACCCCCCCTACCCTCACATCTGTGACTCCCAAAGAGTGAAGTCTGGGTGAGGTGGGT